TCTACGCATGCACAGAACATTTTAAAAAGTGGTTTGGGGGTGTAGTGAGCATGCTGTCCCTACTGGTTCAGAGATCCAGTTGCCATTTCCACTGAATCAGTGTGAACCAGTAGGAACCCACCTCTGGTTTGAGAGGAAACTACCATCAACTATTGCCACTATCAGGTACACCAACAACAGCCGAGTCTCCTACAACTGACTCCCTCTGCGCCCCTCATGTGTGTGATGTGTGAGGTCCATTTCATAGACAAAAGTCTGGAAAAGCATCAGGCCCAGAAAAAGTACCGTATTTTTCGGACTGTAAGACACACCTTGGTTTTGGGGGAGGAAAATAAGAAAAAAAATTCTGCCTCTGCCAACCAGCATCCATGGTATTCATCTGGCTAGCGTCCTGTCAGTGTGTGAGAGAGTTGAAGAATGTTTGGAAACAAACAGTATTTGCTGTGTGAGCAACAAGGAAGGAGACAGCAAGGAGCCAGGGCATGGCTTGTTCTATACTAAAGCTGCAAGCCATGCTGATATCTNGGTGAGATTTGAACAGCTGAACTGCAGAACTGCAGTCAGCTGAAGTTGGCTCTAAATAAATCAAGCAGCTATGACAAATAAGCACATAACTAACGTTTTACATATTACTGGACCACAATTGCTCAGGCACTGTTCCATTGTTCATTATACAGAGCAGTGTTTGTCAGCCGCAACGATTTTAAGATGTATGGACCTCAACTCCCAGAATTATCCAGCCAACATGGGAGGGAATTCTGGGAACTAAACACTCATATAGAGCTTTGCTTATACTATTGCTACTATTACTAAGCCATGAGGGCTCACTTTCATCCTTACCTTTGGGCAATCTTCTCCAGCATAGCCAGCTCGCACTGTGCAGGAGCCAATATCAAACACCAGAGCACCAACTTCATCTGCAGGCAGAGAGGCATCATTTGAATTTATTTTAATTCAGCACAAAAGCACTACCTTGCTTTTACTGACAAAATGCTCTAATTCTCCACATAACCATTCAGAAGACATAGAAGAAATAAAAATATCTATTGCCATTCATATATACTCCCAAATGAATGAGTTTCTTATATATACACTAGTATACAAGTAAGTGTAGTGAACAATTACACATAGCAGTGCTATAAGATAAACCTTTACAGGTAGTCCTTCACCACAATTGAGCCCAAAATTTCTGTTGTCAAGTGAGACATTTGTCAAGTGAGTCTTGCCACATTTCACAACCTCTCTTGCCACAGTTGTTAAGTGAATCGCTGCAGTTGATAACTTAGTAAGCTGGTTGTTAAGGGACTACAGCTTCCCCATTAACATTGCTTGTCAGAAGGTTGCAAAATGGAATCACATGACCTTGGGACACAGCAATGGTCCTAAATATGAACCAATTGCCAAGCATTTGAATGTTGGTCACATGATCCTGGGGAATGCTGAAAAAGTCATAACTGAGGAAAACAGTTCTAAGTGACTTTTTTCAGTGCCGTTGTAAGTTTGAACGGTTGCTAAATGAACTGTTGTATGTCAGGGACTACCTGTATTGTCACTTTTTTCTCTGAACACACTGTCACAGATTAAAAATAAAATTCTGATGCCCACCTGTATGTGTGCGTATGTATATATGTGTGTATGTATGTATATTTATGTTGTGTGTATGTGTGTGTGTAAATACATACATACATACATATATATATATATAATATGTGTGTATTGAGTACATGTACACTGCACAAGTCCAAAAAAGGGCCCTGAAAATATTTATAGACCCCTCGCATCCTGGACATAAATTATTTCAACTCCTACCCTCAAAATGACGCTATAGAGCAACTGCACACCAAGACAACAACAGTTTTTCCCTGAACGCCATCACTCTGCTAAACAAATAATTCCCTCATCATTGTCAAACTATTTACTAAGTCTGCATTACTATTACTATTAATCTTATCATTGTTCCTATCACCCATCTCATCCCACTTATGACTGTAACTTTGTTGCTTGTATCCTTATGATTTATATTGTTTCCTGGTACGATTTGATTGCTTACTTGTACCCTATGACTCCCATTAAGTGTTGTACCTTATGATTCCTGAAGAATATATCTTGTCTTTTTATGTACACTGAGAGCCTGTGCACAAAAGACAAATTCCTTGTGGGTCCAATCACACTTGGCCAATAAAGAATTCATTCATTCATTCATTCATTCATTCATTCATTCATTCNGAGGCCACACCCACAGAGTAGGTTTGAACAATTTTTGAAACCCACCACTGGAGTGGTTGGAGTGATGTCTCAAGTTGGGATGGATTGGGATTGGACCATGTGATGGACTGATGGGTACATGGGATGGGTTTGGACTTATGACTTACAGAGGGGAAACCCGGAACTCTCAGATTCGGGCTTTCCTAGGTGTGCCTGTATACCTACTCTAATAAATGGGAGCTTTGAGAAAATGCCTGTCTCAGAGTTTCATTGGAGTTGGGGTTTTCAGGAACGCTGACAGCAGTCTTGCTCATTAAAGGCATCTGCCAAATCCCGGTATTCTTTGGGCACCTGGGGACAGCCAGGGACCCCATCTGTGGCAGCTGCTCACTCTCCAGTCAGTTGGGGAAGCCAGGGCTTGTTGCCTGGGCATTTGTCTTGGCGGGATTGGCGGCAGTGGCCCAATGCCTATTCTCAGTTTTCGGTAACCATCTTCCCACGTGATAGTCGGGTCCTAGTATGATCTATTCTGTCATCTTGGGGGCTACTACGAATTGAATAAGATCCCAGTGGCAGCCCATTTCCAGTCTAATGAGTTCTGTGACTAGTGTGGCTGGTCCCACGGTTGGGGGCGACAGCCATCAGTACCCCGAATCTGAGTAGCATGTACCTTTTGGGGGAGGAGTGTTGTAAATTCTCTCACTAATCAGCTGCTTCTAAGTTGAGGGTTGCCTGTACTGATTTCCTCCTATCAATTCTCTGTTCAGAAGGAAGCATAACTTTTTAATGGTCTTTTTTTATGGCCATTGACCATGCTGGCTATTCTTATCTGAGACATCTTTCTGCTTTATTGATCTCGTATTGATGACACTCTTGGAGGGGGACGGGAGAGATTTGATCACCGAGAAGCCACGTGAGTATCGCCCCCCCCCCATTGCTGTGCGAACGGTATAGTTCTCATTCCGCTCTTTTTCTCAGAAAAACAGAAGCGAATCCAGCAAGTACCGTATTTTTCGGAGTATAAGACGCACCTTTTCCCTTCAAAAAAGAGGCTGAAAATCTGGGTGCACCTTATACACTGGATACAGCATTTTTTGCCTCCTGAAACCCTGCCCCTTCATCAAAATGGCCGTGCAGAGTCTTTAGGAGGCTTTCAAAGAGCTCCTGGGAGATGGGGAGGGCAGAAATGAGCAAAAAACCATCCATTTTTTGCTCATTTCTGCCCTCCCTAGCCCCCANGAGGGAGGGAAAGAGAGGGAAGGAGGGGAAGAGAAAAAGAGAGGGAGGGAGGGAAAGAGAGAGAGATAGGGAGGGAGGGAGGGAGGGAGAGGGAGAACAAACCTCTATATAGGGCCTGTTTAGCAGGAAAGTGAATGCATTCTGTCCCGTCCGTGCTATAAATATTATTGTTGCCTTCACAAGAGCAGCCCACTTATTCAACACCCCAAAAGAAAAAGAAAAAAAACGAGAGAAGTAAAACAAAATAAAAGCACACAGAAATGCCCAGCGTTTGCATAAGCAACTTGAAAAAGAACAACTCATGATTTCATTTCAGTAGAAATGCAGGGAGTTTCAGTGAGATAATAAGGAGGATCCATTAGCCTCAGAAGGGAAGAGAGAAGATGGCACACTAGGTGCTGTTGGAAGAAATGTCCATCTGGATTCAGTTGCAAGTGGGAAGAAAGCTACTGGAAGGATGGTTTAATGGTGAAGCAGAAGCAGGTGTGATTCTGGGTAGCTGACCACATGAGAGGGAGAGATATATTTATACCCTCTCTTGGACCTTACCCTAGAGCTTCCTGTTCCTGTGCAAGAAACATATCCTATTGGTTGTTGTAGGGATCATGTGCAAATCCTAGGAGTTTTCCTGAGATAAGCCTGGTTAAACTGTGCTGGGTAATGTAATCTCCCCAGGGGTCATATGGTGAGCTCTGCTGTTAGATGGGCGGAGGGCTAATCCTATTATGTCCAGGAGGGTCATGTCTTAATCCCATCACCCTGGAGCTGGAGGCCTTTTGTCTTGTAGATAGGTTGGCCCAGTCTTTCTGGGGCTGTTAACAAAGGTGGGGGCTGCTTTCCAAGAGTTTCTGCTTTTCTCATCCAGGGAGGTATAATATTCTGCCTTTTAAATATTTCCTAATCTATTTCATACTTCTAGAAGACGGGGGTCTTCAAAGTTGGCCACTTTAAGACTTGTGGACTTCAACTCCCAGAATGCCCCAGCCAGCCAATGCTGTTCTAACTTTCTTCAGTGCAGTGATATACCATGAATGGAAAACTTCAGCATCTTTCCAGGTCTACCTTCTTAATGTTCTGGGTATTTAAAGCAAATGATAGGTGGTNGTCCTTCTTTTCATTAAACTAGACATACCCAGTTCCTGCAACCGTTCTTCATATGCTTTAGTCTCCAGTCCCCGAATCATCCTTGTTGATCTTCTCTGCACTCTTTCTAGGTTGTAAAAGGTGATCACATGACTCCAGGACACTGCAACTATGAACCAGTTGCTAAGCACCTGAATTTTGATCATGTGACTACGAGGATGCTGCAACTATCATAAATGTGAAAAATGGTCCCATGGCACTTGTTTCAGAGCTGTTGTAGCTTCTAACAGTCAGTAAACAAATGGTTGCAAGCCTAGGACTGCTTGTAATCTCCTGCTAGCATGACCCCATCAATGGAGGACACCAGCCTAGAGAAGTTTGATTTTTAAAACAAAATATACAAATGTAACAAGCAACCGGGTTTTATTTTAAAAAAAAACTAAATATGATCTCCTTACATAATTCATGAATTTTCACAATTATTTGTGAAGCTGTTTGGGTAATAGCACAGCAACAAGATCTTGGTTAAACAATTTTTTTTTTTTGAAAAAATTGTAATTGTTTCCTGAAAACAGCATAGTATTTGTGATGATGCTCACTTATTCATCAACATTTCTAGGATACGCTGTGAGTACTGCAGTTTTGCATAGGAAGAATGCGGGGATATTGTAATGTTCAAACATTAATTCCGTCAGTTTCTCACGCTTTGCTCTAATGTTCCACTAGAAAAGCACAGAGAAAATAATTAAAGTGCAAAATTATTATTTATGACTCAAGAAGCAGAAGACTGGCATTTTGCTATTCTTTCCTACCAATTTCTTGCAAATTAGCAACCAGATTTATAAATATCTGTCAGACTAAAGTAGATTAAAGTAAGTTTTACTCTCTCAATCACAGAATATACAGCCATTTCAAATTTTATGTATTGCCACAGAATTGTGACTCTTTTATAAATATAATTTGCAAAACATCCAAGAAGATTATTTCATAATTAAAAACACACAAAGACATATCTATTCTACAGTTTGGGGAATGCAAGTGTGTGTGTGTGTTTGTTTGTTTGTTTCTTGGCTGGTTAATGAACTGTAAGTAGAAGAAGTGACATGATTTAATTATTTGAAGAAAATTTTTCAGACTGTTATACATAATATAAAAGTATTGCGAATGTCTGAAAAAGTATAATATTACTTCTCTGTATTAGAGGAAGCTCACTAATCCCAGCTGCAATTCAACTTTATATTACTGTACTTGCTCAAATCTTATACAGAGCTGAAGCTGAACCAGACTTCATATTAATGTTGGTCAAAACGTCTAAAAAAACAGTAGTTAAATATTCTAGTTAAACAGTTAAGATATTTAGGGAAGAAATTTGATGGGCTGTTTGAAAGAAATAAAACCAATTTTTACTCACTGGTGCTTCAGACATAAGAACTGGATGCAATGAAGTTTCAGATTTAATGTGCATCTTATAAGTATGATCCAGGATGGCTTGGAAACTATCCCAATCTTCAACTGAAACAACATAAAGTGAATGTTGCTTTTGTCAGTTTCCAGGTTGGTGAAATCTCACTGGTACCTCTTATTTGGAGGTATAATGTAATTGGACAAGTCAAACTATGCTTTCAGAAGCATTTAAGATGTTATCCAGGTTAGGACTAGATAATCATGATTCAACACTTATCTCTGAATTGAATCACAGTCTTTTACCTTAAACAAGGAGAATAACCACAGGAAAGAACAAACTACACAAGAGTTTTTCTCCAAAGTATTGATATTGAGTTGTATTTTCTGTACAGCAATTCATGAAAAAAATAATCAAAAGGTTTCCTTGGAAACATTTATTTCAGACTAAGTCTATATAATAAATGAAAGAAGAGAAAGGAAATATACAAGGATACAGGTAGTCCTTGACTTATAACAATTGAGCCCAACATTTCTGTTGTTAAGTGAGACATTTGTTAAGTGAGTTTTGCCCAATTTTACCTTTCTTGCCACAGTTGTTAAGTGAATCACTGAAGTTGTTAAATCAATCTAGCTTCCCTATTGACTTTGCCTGTCAGAAGGTTGCCAAAAGTGATCACGTGACCTTGGGACACAGCAATGGTCATAAATATGAACCAATTGCCAAGCATCCAAATTTTGATCAGATGATCGTGAGGATGCTGAAAAGGTCACAACTGAGAAAAACAGTCCTAAATCACTTTATTCAGTGCTCTTGTAACTTTGAATGGTCACTAAATGAAGGTTGTAAGTTGCAGACTACCTGTAAGGTGCTATGCTATTAGCTTGAGATAGCCCATGTTTTTTTTTTCAACTTCCACAACCACATATCTTCTCCCAAGTAAGACAAAATCTATTTTTCAGAAATAACAGTTTCTGAGGTACCACAAAATAGCAACCAGGATTTAAGATCAAAAGGAGGAAATGCAGAACATCGTACTCATTCCATTTTTCAAAGGTGAAATGGCTTCCATGTTCTCCCTAGGAACTCTCAAGGCATTTGTGTCTATGTAGTATGATGGCCCTCCTTGCTTGCTTTTATCACCNAAAACACATCAAGAAGTTGCAGCTTCCTGCAATAACACCAGCGGAACTGCAAAAAAACAGTGCTACTCAGAACATCGTACATCTTACCCTGTTTCCCTGAAAATAAGACTTCCCTGGATAATAAGCCCAATTGAGCTTTTGAGCGCATGCACTAAAAGAAGCCCTCCCCTGAAAATAAGCCCTCCCTGAAAATAATGCAACACAGCAGCAGCCATGAGGTGACCACGCTCACCACCTCCTGCACCTCAAAAATAATAAGACCTCCCTGAAAATAAGGCCAAGCGCTTATTTCGGGGAGGGGTTCAAAAGAAAATAAGATCCTATCTTATTTTCAGGGAAACAAGGTCAAAAGGTACTTGGTTGATACCTAGGACGCTGGCAGCCTGTATCAACCATTAGCAAAAGTCAATGGTATTTGTGATGCATTTTTGAATGTTCAGTTGATTGGGTTTCATGTTTAATGAATAAAGTATCTAATACAGTATAGGTATTCCTTGACTGATGGCCACAATCAAGCCCAAACCTTCCACTGCTAAGCAAGGCAGTTGTTAAGTGAGTTTTTCTCCATTTTACGACCTTCCTTGCCACAGTTGTTAAGTGAATTACTGCAACTGTTAGTTACACGGCTGTTAAGTGTATCTGGTTTTCCCATTGACATTGCTTGATTTTTTTTACTACTGGGTCTGTGGGCATAGCTTGGTGGGCGTGGCATGGCTTGGTAGGTGTGCTTGGTGGGCGTGGCAGGGGAAGGATACTGTATAATCCCCATTCCCTCCCGATCAGCTGGGACTCGGGAGGCAGAGAATAGATAGGGCGGGGCCAGCCAGAGGTGGTATTTACCGGTTCTCTGAACTACTCAAAATTTCCGCTACCAGTTCTCCAGAACTGGTCAGAACCTGCTGAATACCACCTCTGGCTTCAGGGCTGTGTCAGACTAGGATGTTTGAAACAGGAGCATCCACGCTATCGCAATCAAATCACACAGGGTAGCAATCTCATCTTCCCCCCCCCTTACAGGTTTTGTAACAATTTGGGCAGTCACGTTTTATGGGCAGGAAAAGGACAGATCGAAACACCTGGAAGCCAAGGGAGAGCCACTGCTGGAAAATGATATGATCTGAATTCCCCTTGCGAACAAACACGTTGATGATGGCACACGGCAAGCCTTCTCTTAAAGCACACTTGGTGTAAAAATCAGTCTCTGTATTCTAAGAGGGCATTAATTTCAAGCATCGGTTTTCTGCGGCCCACAGCCCTTTCTGCAAGAAAGATTTCCGCTTGCGCGAAAACCTAACCTGGTGTAGAAAGTTAGCACCCACCCCTGCCAGAAGAATGAAATATTTTAGGAAATATTAAAAGCAGGATCAAATATTTCTCTTAAAAGAGAAATAAAAATCTTGAAACAGAACCCCAGAACACCAGCTCGTTGCCACCCGCAGACATATTGGTGCCCATTCAGCAGGACTGGTCCAGCCTATCTACAAGACAAAAGCCATCTAGCTTCAGGGTGATGGGATTAAGACATGACCTTCCAGGATTATCTAGCAGCAGGGCTCACTGCATTGTAAAATCACTTGGGGACATTACCAAGGTTCAACCAAACTTGATTCAGACAAACAGGACTCCACATGGGAGTCTGACAGCAACCAATAGAATACATGCTCTTGCCACAGGAACAGGAAGCTCACGTTCCAAGCCCAAGAGAGGGTATAAATACCTCTCACTTTCCACTCTATGTGGTCGTCTGCCCAGGACCTCAAAACCCATATGGTCCTGTCCTTTAATAAACCATCTTTCCAATCAGTCTCCATGTTTCCAGTGTCTTTCTCCGCACTTGGAACTGAACCACATGGGTTTTTCTTCCAACACTGGATGTTTGGAAAAAAAAGAGAGCCATTACAAGGTGTGCCTTTACTTAACAAGCTGTTTTCTCACCTACCTATAGGCAAACATGTGTAGTGACTTAGCAATCAGGAACAGGATGTTTAGCCTTCTCTTTTCATACCTGTTCCCTGATATAAATACTCTGCTTTGCAAACTAGCGTGAGCTCCTACAGTTAAGACAAAATGCAATCATCATCATCATCATCATCATCATCATCATCATCGCGCAGATTGATTATAAATTGCGGCACAATTCAGTAGCACAAATGATCCACTGGAATTTGTGCAAAAATTATAATATTAAAACAACAACAAACTAGTGGGAACATAAGCCTGAAAAAGTCACCGAAAGTCAGATGGTCAAGATTTTATGGAATTTTCGTATACAAACNTGAGTGATCCTTAAGATATGCTGATATTTTAGCCATCTCTGCTAGGTTTGTTAATTTTAATGTCCATTCGTGAATAGTAGGCAAATCTTCTTTCCCTGGGTATTCAGAAGGGATATATTTGGGAAGCTTGGATAACTTGGCTCATCCTATAGCATTATTTCCCATCTCTGTGCTGTATCATTTCCAAATAATACAGACTAAGGAATTTAGCCATGGAAAGGGGATAATGAAATTACCATATTGAATTAAATTTAGAATATTTTGGGGAAGTTGTTCTCAGTATTTTCTTCAGAAAGTTGCTATGAAGAGGTTATCAATTTTGTGTGTGTGTGTTGTCCAGATTATGACTGGTAGAAAGCTTTCCTATTTCTGTCATTGCCAACAAAGATTTCAGCTTTTTATGAAAATATGCTTTTTAAAATTAGCTCGCAACAGTCCTTCTTAATCCAATCATTTTCTCCTCTACCTGTCCAGGATCCCACACCAGTGTGTACACCGACATTTTTGGAGCGCCGAAAATCTCAGCCGGAAGATGATGAAGATGAAGAAATAACTTTAAAATTACCACCTACGATTACAAAGCCTACCCTGCAAAAAAACAAAACGGCAAAATTGCAGAAAAAACGTGCAAATAAAAAATGTAAATCTTAACTTTGTCATAAGAGCATTATTATTATTTTTTACTACACAAGATGTTTCTCAGTTCCAGGGAGAAGGTCCTGTATGTTCCCCAACCTTTCCAGCTTTGTGGGGGATGGGGAAGGGGGGATGATTACGTGCGAGTGGCCAGCAAGTGCACCCACAGCTCCATTTGTGTGAGCAACGTGCACACACGCCGCTCACAAAAATGGAGCACAAGTGCACACATTCGGCTGCTGCTTGTGCAAGTGGGGATGCCCACTCGCCCAAGTAGTGCCAATGGGTGTGGTACCTTCTCAGGACTTCCCAGAACAAATACAGGGTATAAATCTTTAACAAAGATGTTCTAAAATAAACTTTTAAAAAGTTAGTATCATCTTTCATTTGAACTTTAACTCCTCTTTTGTTAGGCTAACTCTAAACAGATTATATCACTTTTTCCTCTACCTGTTGTAACCGAAAGCCCTATCAATTGTGGAGCCGACTGGGAAACCCACCCCTTGCCATAGAGTCTTCTCTTGGCACACTGTGCTTCTCCCCACCCCCAAAATCTGAAGCGCCTCTCAAAATTGTGGCGCTGGCTTGCGACGGAAGCCGCAGCAGAGGGATGAAAGAGCCACATGCTCCAGAGCTGCGGGTTGCTGACCCCTGCCATAGACCTAAACCATTTGAATCCCACCATCTTTGTTCCTGGATTTGTGACCATCCAAATAGCTGGTTTTCATTGGATGTTTTCTGTTAGGAAGTACCATATTTTTCAGAGTATAAGATGCACCTAGATTTTGAAGAGGTAATTTTTAAAAAAAAAAATGCTTTTGCACTCTGCAAGCCTCCCAAACCCTCTGCACACATCATTTTTTGTGAAAAATGGGGCATCCGTGGGAGGTTTGTAGAGTGCTCCTGGGGGCTGGGCTGTGCAAATACGACTAAAATATGGCCCGTTTTTCACTCGTTTTTGCCCTCAGGAGCATTTTGCAGGCCTCCCAAATCCTCTGCACGTTCATTTTTGCAAAGGGAGCGGTGTTTCAGGAGGCCAAAAATGCTCTTTTCAGTGTATAAGAAGCACTCAGATTTTCACCCTCTCTTTTGGGGGGAAAAAATGCATCTTATATTCTGAAAAATACGGTAATGGGTGAAGTTTGGGAAGTAATGCTGAATTTGGCCTCTCCAGTGTTTTATTCTGCTAATAACCAACAAGATGTGTATAGGAATCAACTGCAGGACCAGACTTCAGTGACCTAACCTCTGCTTGTACTTCCAGGCCACTGGCATTTAGAGATACAGATGTTAAAGGCAATAATGATTTACTGATACAATCAAATTTTAATTTAATGGCATGTTTGCTTGGGTCACAACACTGGCGTCACCCATTAAATGTAAAAAGCCCATTGCATTCAAATGTGCTTATTTTGCCTAATCGGGTTAAGAAAGTTTTAACGTCATTTGTGTAATTATGCAAAGCATGTCAATTTGCTAGTGCTTCCAACAAAGTGATCCTGGTGGAAGCTGCCTATAAGTTGTAAATTGTAGGAAGAAAAATCCAGTCAGGTTCCAACCTGGGAGAAAAGCGCTGGGAATAAACTGGAGGCTGATTGACTGCAAGATTATTTGGTTTCCAGGAACTTCAGTGACAGCAGCAAATGTTTCTCGGGTGGCTGATCGCTTGGTTTAGGAATGGATGGATTTTTATATGGTTCTGAGATGCTCCAGGGGGTTGTACAAGGTAATGAGCCTTGTGCCTTTTGCTATTCTAATGATGATGGGTTAAACACAGTGGTGGGTTGCAGGCGGTATGCCCTGGTACTGGCGTACCGGATCCTGCCTGGAGCACCAGATACCGTTCCGGTACGGCGCTCTGGAGGGCCCACCCGCACTCCTTACCAGTGCTTTATGCTCTTGGCGCTTCCACACACGGCCATGTTGCATATGGCACCTGCGAATGGTGCATACGGCGCCTGTGCGATGCTCCGTGAAGCAGCTGGAGCATCACTGAGGCTTGCAAAAGCATCATTTGACACTAGACCGCATGTGCGTGCCGCACGGATGCATGTGGCTAACTCCGGGGCTGTTCCAACCATACCGGTTGGAACAGAGTCTGGAACCCACCACTGGTTAAACACCTATTTATGTCCTAAAGGTCATGTCCTGTCCTGTCCTTAGAATTTGGGTGGGGGATGTAAATTCCTAATACCCGCCTGGGGGTGCTGTGGCTGGAAGGAGATTTGTTTGTGAATATGCTGGTCTGGATTTCTGAATGGATACAAAATATTCATTCCTAAAGACCATTCTCTTCTGCTTCAGGCTGTTTTGTTATGCAGGAAGACTAGAACTGTTTTCTGCCTTTAAGAACACATTTCTCCTTTGGGGAAATATAATATTCTGCCTCTTTTTTAAAAATTACTTTTTGTTAATAAACATGTAAAATACACACAAAACTTAGACATACACCACATTTACACAATACAATACGAACAGGAGCTTCCTGTTCTTTCTAATAGCAATTATCAANTTTAAAACAGTTAAAAATTGACAAAATCACCATCAGTCAAATGCAAAAAGCTGCACTGCTTGGATCTGCACGCATATTACAAAAATACGTTACAACCCTGGGTGGGACCCGACTAGTAATCAATGCCAAATCCGGTGAAACAACTGGCTGCTGTAATATAATTTATAATAAAAAGCAGTATGGCTGTGTTGTTCTTTCACTGTTTATGTCTACATATTGCCCATCTGACTGCACACGTGAGAACAAGCGCAGAATGAGGAGGATATATGAGGATCTGAAGTTATGTATACACAGAAACAAGCCCAGGTAGTCTACAGGTAGTCCTCGGTCTACGACCAACTGTAGGAAGTTAGCATCCACCCCTACCCTAGAAAAATGAAATATTTTAGGAAATATTAAAAGGACAGAATATTTCCCCTAAAAAGGAGGCAGAAACTCAGCCCCCACTCATACCTTTGTCAATGGGTCATTAAGGCCTGTGCCAGTTTATTCTACATAACAAAGATCTACCTCCTTCAGGCAGAGCCATAGTCGGAATTGCCCAAAGCCCTTTCATTACATCATCATCCAGCAAGGCTCAACCAAGCTTGGGACTCAGGGCAGCCTACAGAGTTGCCCCTGCATGGCCCCATGGGAATTTGACAACGAATCAGAATACGAGCTCAAATTCAAAAGCCCAGAGAGGGCATAAAATCAGGACACTCAGCATCTCTTCCCTTCCCCGCCCCCAGGAACTCAAACCCAGGTGGTCCTGTCCATCATCAATAAACCTTCTTTCCAAGCAACTTCCATGAACACAGTGTCTTTTTCCCCACTTGGAACTGAACCCAGAAGGACATTTCTTCCAACATAACCTTGGGCGAATTAACTGAATCATTTGGTGGTTGAGCGAAGCTGGCCTCTCCCATTGACTTTGCTTGTCAGAAATTGGCTAGGAAGATTTCCAATAGTGATCACATGACCCTGGAACCGTGGAACTGTCATAAGTACATGCCAGTGGCCAAGTGTCCGTATTCTGGTCACGTGTCCATGGGGATGTTACAATAACTTTAATTGTGAAAAACAATCATAAGTAACTTTTTTCTCCCCAATGCTGTTGTGACTTTGAACAGTCACTAAATGAAAATAGGGCAAAACTCACTTAACAAATGTCTCACTTAACAACAGAAGTTTGGGGCTCAATTGTCGTAGGTTGAGGACTATCTCTAATGCAAATCAAGATCCAGGGCCATCAACTGGCTTAAGTTTCTTCCTGAGGAATTATCTTGTGTAGACAAAAAAAATGGCCTTACTTAATAGTCACATGTTTCAAAGAAGTGCCCTCATATTATTTGACCACGAAGGCAGACAAACAATGCACATATTGTATTCTTCCTGGGACATGCACAACTAACACAAATAAGCTCATTTGGAGTTACAGAGCAGAGGTTTACAAACTTCTTCAGGCTTCAGAAACAGTCTGGGGAGGGGGAGGCCGAGAAAACCTGATTATGAGGGCAGGGCTTATAAACACCAGATGAGAAGCTCCACTCCTTCTGTGGTGCCATTAGAAAAAATCAGTTATGGAGAACAGTGTTGAGTTTGGAAAAGATAGCTCAGTGTATTTCAATCTATCTCAACCTTAGTTGGAAAGGTCTTTTTTTTTCATCTAGTCCAAGAATACGGAAACATGGAAACTTTAGGACTGGTGGACTTCAACTCCCAGAATTCCCCAGCCAGCATGGCTTGCTAAGGAATTCTGGAGTTGAAGTCCACCAGTCTTAAAGTTGCCAAGTTTGAAGGTGTTGGAAGAAATATTCATCTGGTTCAGTTCCAAGTAGGGATAAAGGCACTGGAAACATGGAGGCTGATTGAAAGATGCTTTAATGGAGCAGAACCATCAAGCACATGGTTCTGATGCAGCTGACCACATGGAGTTGAAAGCAGGTGGCCTTTATACTTTCTCTTGGGCTTTGAACTTGAGCTTCCTGTTCCTGTGCA